CTGCAGCGCGGGGCGGCAGCGCTGGCGGAGGTGCTGGACCGGCCGCTGCCGGAGCTGCGGCAGGCGGTGACGCGCATCGTGGCGGCAGGAGGGGAGGGGGAGGCCGGCGCCGCGCCCGCAGACCTGCAGGCGCAGCAGGTGTTTGAGGATGAGGAGACGCGAGCCTTCTACGAGTCTCTGGTGGACCTGCGGGCCGTAGTGCCTGCGGTACTGCTCGGGGACAAGGGCAAGGAGGCGGCAGGGGAGCAGGAGGCGGCGGCCGGCGCCGAGCAGCAGGCAGATGGGGAGGGCGGCGGTGCGGCGGGGGCGGCCGCGGGGGCGGCCGCAGGCACGGCGGCGGCGGCGGGGGCGGCGGCGCCCAAAGGGGCGGGCGTGCCGGCGTCTGCCAGTGGCGCCTCGCTGCCCGGCGGCAAGCAGGAGCCGAGCTATGAGGAGACTTTAGAGGTGGGCGGCCAGGGGGCAGGTTGCCGGCTTGGCGTTGCCGCTGCACTGTTGGGCAAGGGATTAGCACGGCAGCAGATCCGGGCAGCTGGCAGCTTGCCACACGACACATACACACGCACGCCACCACGACTCATACACATGCACATGCACACCCCCACCACCTCCACCCCACTGCGTCTGCCTGCAGGGCAAGGGGGCGGGGGAGGAGGCGCGGGAGCCCAGCCAGCTGGACCTGCTGCTGGGGCGCCTGCCCGGCTGCGTGAGCAAGGAGCTGGCTGACGAGGCGGCGGTGGCCTTCTGCTACCTGCAGAACAAGGGCGCCCGCAAGCGCCTGGTGCGCGCGCTGGCGGCGGAGCTGCCCCTGGGCGCGCTGGCGCTGCTGCCATACTACGCCCGCATCGCCGCCACGCTGGCGCAGGTCTTCCCGGACGTGGCGCAGGGTGAGCGAGGGCGGGGCCCGGCCTGCCACGCTGCCCTCAGTCCCTGCTTGGCGGCGCCCGCTGCGCGGCTGCGCCTGATGCGCCCTTGCCCCTTGCCTGCCTGTCTTTCCTGCTGCCGCATCCGCCTGCTGCCTCTTGGGCTCCTCCCCCACCCAAAAGCTTGCCCTCCCCTCACCCTCTCGCCCCCATGCGGCCCCCACCCACCCGCCCCAGGCGTGGTGGCGCACCTGGAGGCCGAGTTTGGCACCCTGCAGCGCAGCAAGGACGCCACCGCGCGCACGCTGGAGCCGCGCGTGCGCAACATGCGGTACGTGGCCGAGCTGGCCAAGTTCCGCCTGTTCCCGCACGGCGCCGCCTTCTCCATGCTCAAGCAGCTGCTGGACGACTTCTCGGGGCACAACATCGACGCCGCCTGCGCGATGGTGGAGACAGCGGGGCGCTTTTTCTACCGGTGAGGGGGAGGGGTGTGAGGCGCGGGGGTGTGTGGCTGGTGGCGGTCATGGTGGGTGTCGAGCAGGCCAGGCCTGCCTATGCGCCCTGCCGGCACCACGCACCTCCCTCCCCCACACGCCCGCTCCCACCTGCCAGCCACCCCCCGCCCCTCCCTGTGCACACAGGCTGCCCGAGACCTCCACCCGCATGTCCAACTTTTTGGAAGTCATGATGAAGCTGCGCAACGCCCGCAACCTGGACGCCCGCCAGAGCGGCCTCGTCGACTCCGCCTACTTTGCGGTCAAGGCGGCGGACAAGGGGGCGCGTCGCAGGCAGCGCCCGCCGCAGCACGAGTACATCCGCCACCTGGTGTACGAGCGGCTGCCGCTGGGGCAGGTCACGCGGGTGGGTCTGCGCCGGGGCCTTGGCTGAGGAGGATTTAGGGCTTCTTAGGGTTGGTGCTGAGGCTGGGTGGGGATGGGTGGGGATGGGGTGGGGCAGACGAGCGGGGGTGCCGGTGATGCCTGGGGTTCCGCCCATGGCCAAGTGTCCGCAGGAGGCTCCGCAGCGGCTGGCGGGGTGCTGTCTCGCATGCATCCGCGCCTGCTGGCCCGCCATGCACACGCCCCTGCCTTGCCCTCCCGCCCATGCCCCCTGTCCCGTGCCCACACCTTCCCCGCAGGTGATGAAGAAGCTGCGGCGGCTGCCCTGGGCGCAGTACGAAGGGTACCTCCTCAAAACCCTGCTGCGCGCCTCCCACAAGGGCCGCTTCTCCCAGATCCCGCACATCGCCAGCCTGGCGGCGGGACTGTCGCGGTACCACCCCAGCCTGGGCGTGGCGCTGGTGGATGAGGTGCTGGAGGCGGTGGAGGCGGGGCTGGAGACGCCAGACGCGGGTGGGGTGGGGCGGGGCGGGGCGGGGTGGAGTGTGTCGCTGGGGCGAGGGCTTCGGTGAGGCGCGTGTCCTTTCGTGGGTGGGTGGTGCTGGTGGTGGGCGAGAATGGTGGGCAGGGGAGAATGGTTGGAGGTTGCGGTGGGCCCACCCAGGCGCTGCCGCCCGCCGCGCCCTGCCCCGCCCGCAGGCTTCTACCAGCGCCGCGTGGCAGCGGTACGCCTGCTGGGCGAGCTGTACAACTACAAGCTGGTCAACTCCCAGGTCATCTTTGCCACCCTGCACCTCATCCTGGCCTACGGACACGAGCAGGGCACGCCGCCCGAAGTCAGCAGGTGCGGCTGTCTGCGGAAGGCCGGCCAGCTCTCCGCCCATACCCTGTGCCCTCTCCCCTCCCACAGCTGGTGTTCCCCGCTGGATGCCGGCCTTTGGGCTGCGGCCTCCCGCGTGCCTCCTGCCCCTGCCCTCCTCCAAGTCTCCTACCCCGCTTCCCCCTCCCTGCCCCTGCCCCCAGGCGCCTGGACCCCCCCTCCAACTTCTTCCGCATCCGCCTCTGCTGCACCCTGCTGGAGGTATGCGGGCAGTACTTCACGCGCGGCCCGTCCCGCCGCAAGCTGGACCGCCTCCTCCCCGCCTTCCAGCGCTACCTGCTGGCCAAGCCGCCGCTGCCGCTGGATGTGGAGTTTGATGTGCAGGTGTGTGTGTGTGGTGGGGGGGGGGGGGTGGCTGCGCATGCATGCATGTGTGCTGGGTGTGGATAGGTGTGTGGTCATGGGGAGTGGCTGCGCGTGCAGCAGGCGTGGCGAGCGCTGCGGCGGCCAGGGTGTCGCCCTGAGCGGGGCGGCGGTGGCGCGCAAGCCCAGGAGCAGGTGCAGCCGGGGCACGCCTCCCACCTCCCCGCCCCGCCACCTCACCCCGGGCGTCTGCACCCTCCTGCTTCAGGACCTGTGGGACCACCTGAGGCTGACCCCTCCGCAGTACGACAGCTACGAGGCCGCCTGCGCCGCGGTGGCGGAGCTGGAGGCGGCCGAGGCGGCGGCCGCGGCCAGCGGGCTGGCGCCGATCGAGGAGGAGAGCGACGGCGAGGGGCCGGAGGACGGCGGCGATGCCGGCTCTGATGCGGGCAGCGACGCGGAGCAGGACGATGGCGACAGCCAGGCGGGGCTGGACGGTGATGAGGAAGATGTGGCGCGGTGGGTGGCCGCAGCGCCTGCTTGTGATGGCTGGCTGGTGGGGCCGGCCCGCCCCGCAGCGCCATCGGCGCATGCTTGCTTGCCTGCATGCATCCACTCGTCGCTTGCCCCACCTGCCCTGCTCTGCCCTGCCCCGCCCTGCCCCGTCGCCCGCAGGCTGGAGAGCGAGGGGGAGGAGGAGGGCGTGCGCATGGTGGGCCCCGCCTTGCAGCCGGCCGAGGTGGACGAAGACTTTGAGCGCGAGTTCTGCCAGCTCATGCTGGACCACCAGGGCCGCCCCGCAGCAGCCGGCGGCGGCCGCCAGCTGGGCCCCGGCGGCGCGGGGCCGGCGGGGGGGCCCGGGCTGCCACCCGCGGCCCACGCCCATGGTCAGGGCGGCGGCGAGGCGGGGGAGGCGGAGGCGGTGTCGTTCCGGGTGATGATGAAGCGGGGGGGGCGGGACGACCGCACCCGGGAGCTGCACATCCCGCTGACGGCCGGCATGGCGGCGCACCTGCGGCAGAAGGAGGAGGAGGAGGCGGCGGAGAAGGCGGAGCTCAAGCGGCTGGTGGGTCGCCAGGCTGGCGGGCAGAGCTGGCGGGGGAGCCTGGGGGGCTGGCTGGGGGGCTGGCTGGGAGGCGTGCCTGACTAAGATGCACTCTGTTGCTATTTTCGTTTGGTGCAGGTGCTGGAAGCAAACAAGCGCGACTTGCAGGTGCGGCTGCTGCCAGCGGCGCCGTGGGCCCGCAGCGGCGGCAGGGAAGGGAGTAGGATGGGAGTTGCGGGGCTGGCCTGGGAGCATAGCTTGGGGCTGGGAGGGCTGGCATGAGCCAGGCTGACTTGAGGTGCTGTCCCGTTGCTGCTGCAGGAACAGCAGGACGCACTGCGAGCAGCGCAGCAGCAGCGGCGGCCTGGCGCGCGCGGCTATTACGGCCGTGGCGGCGGAAGGGGAGGAGGGGGAGGGCTGTTTTGACCTCTCAGCCTGCTGTTGATTTCTCCCTACTCCCATCCTCTTGCGCTTGCTTCTCCCGTGCCTGAGCATTGTTTGCTTGCATTTAATGAAAGGAAATTGGATCCTTGAACATTGATCGGCCCAAGTTAACAGGCCCAGCGGAGATGACTCAGTCCAGTTGCAGCACGGGGTCAGGACGTGGGTGCAGTGGAACAAGCAGCAGAGAGGGTGGATGCAGGGGGTGCAAGTGCCCCTCTCCAGAACAAGCAGCAGGAGGGGGTCCAGCAGCAAACTCGCTGCCCCGCCGCTCAGCCCTTGAGCGCCGCCAGCCGCCGCTTCACTTCATCGTCCAGGTCATCCTCATCCTCCTCATATGCCCGCTTGCGGGACGGCCCTGCGGCAGGCGGCGACAGGCAGGATTCCGGTTGGGGGTTGGATTCCGGCAGCATGGAGCATGGCACACAGCACGCTTCCTTTAAATGCCTGCTGCTGCCGACGCCACAACGGCACAGGCGCGCGCACCTTCGCCGCCATCCTCCTCCTGCTGCTGCTCCTCGCCGCCCTGCGGCGGCCGCGGCCCCGGCGCCTCCTCCTCCTCCGGCTCCTCTCCCTGGGCCCACACCGCGCGGTTCTGCTCTGCCGTCTCCTCCGTCTCCTCCATGGGCGTGTTCCACCACACGGGCCCGCCAAAGCGGCCGTCCCCCGAGGCACAGCAGATGCAGCCGGTCTGCACGTCGGGGGTGATGCGCTGCTGCGCGGCGCGCTGCTTCATGGGCACGCGGCAGTGGCTGGTGGTGCCGAAGTTGTGGTTGCCCTTCTGGATGGCCAGCAGCGAGCAGAGGATCTCGTAGCCGGGCTTGCGCCACTTGGCGATCAGCGCCCCGTCCGCAATCTTCTCCCGCACCAAAAAATCGTACAGCTCGCGGGACATGACCTGCGGGCAGAAAGGGGGAGTGTGTGTGTGTGTGTGCGCGCGCGCGCGAGGGAACAGACAAGGGCACGAGGGTGGGTGGCACCACCAAGATGCAAAACAGAGCCAGCGGCAAACTGCACGCCTGCACAGCTGCTGGGCCCCCACCCACCTTGCGGTTGTACATGAGGTCGTAGATGAAGCGGTTCTTCTCCCAGTGGATGCGCGTCACCTGCGGCACAGCGAGGCGGGGGGGCTGCTGGTGAGCAGGCAGCCACGAGGTGAGCAGCAGCATTCTGCCCACCGCCAGCCGGCAGGGGCCCACCTTCCAGGTCGTCTCGTTGCGCCGCTTCCCCGACGTGTCCTCGTTCACCGCATCCTTCATCTGGTGCTCAAAGTCCTCGATCACCTCCTCAATCAGCTCCCAGCCCTCGGGGGGCTGCTTCCCCTTGAGCCTGCAGCAGGCACAGCACTGCTGTTCAGCGGGTGCTCGCCGCCGCCGCCGCTGGTGCCACCGCCCCTGCCGGCAGCGCAGCTCTAGGCGAGGAGCCGCTGCCCGCGCCGCCCGCTGCGTCTGGAGTCTGCATCAGCCCATGCAAACCCCCAGGCCGAGCCATTCGGGCGGCGGTGATGCCAGCAGCGCCCGATGGCGCGGGCTCCAGCTGCTGCGCGTCCGTCACAGCGACCCACCGTCTCCTGAACGACATAAAGTCTGCTGCGCGAGGCGGGGCCGCCAATCAGCAAAATTGCTTCTGGCTCCGCGTCTCTAGAGGGGCCGGCAGCTTGGGCACGCAGTCGGCAAGTGCGGATGACGACAGGAGCGAGGCTGCATGCAGATTGAACGCCAGCTCCACAACGCAGTACGTGCCCGTCCCGCGGCGGCCGCCGAGCAGTGGCGTGTGGCGCATGTGAGCTTTTGCGCTGTTTTATCCCTCCTCACCCCCCTATCCCTCGTTGTCCCTCGTCCAATGTATGCCAGCATGCTGTCCACCGCTTGCCGCCGCCCCACCTTGGGAGCCACCAGGGCTCCCTCCTGTCGCCGCGCCGCCCTGGGCGGCAGGCGCCTGCTGCCAGCCCACGCCGCAGCCCCCAACAAGGCTCTGCGCCGCAGCCCAGGCTGCGTGGCAGTGCGCGCGCTGCAGAGCGACAAGGAGGAGGCCCCCAGCAGCATCGACGACTTTGTCGCACTCGCCAAGCAGCTGACGGGGCACCTGGCCGCCGAGTTTGCATCAGACAGGAGCGGCGTGTACAAACAGCTGGAGGCCTGGTGAGCTGCTGTGTGGTGCAGCGCTCTGCTGAGCAGCAGCAGTTGGCGCCGGCCAGTGCTGATGCACGGCGTGTTTCTGGCGCGGTTGACCAACACGAATCACGCGCCCACACGCCCTGCGCCACCAATGCCGCTGTGCTCGCAGGATGGCTGGCAGCCACGACGAGGGCGAGGAGCTGGCGCCGCGCACCGACCAGACCACCAGCGAGAGCGACGCCGGCAGGCTGCTGCGCTTTGCTGGGGAGAAGTTCGGGGTGCCCACCAACATCTCCGAGGTGGTGCACTCGGTGCAGACCTGGTGAGCCGGTATGCTGTTGGTGCTGGCTGTGTAGCATGGCCGGTGCCGCGCTGCACAGGCCTCGTGCCGCACCCGTGCTGTCCAACCGGTGCGCTGTGCGTGCAGGCTGAGCAACCCGGCGGGAGGCGAGGAGGCACACGACAGCCAGATGGTGGCGCGCATCGTGCAGCGCCTGCTGGCCACCTACCGGAAGCAGGCGGGGGAGGAGTTTGAGGGGGAGGAGGAGCACCAGTGGGACCGCCTTTACGCAATCGCCAGGAGCGTGCTGGGCTCCTCGGTCAGCCGCCGCGTGCTCAAGAGCCTGGTCAAGGCCTACCTCGGCCTGCCGTGAGCCCTGCCGTCGGTGAGCGATGCCCCCGGTGAATGGTGAGCGCCCAGAGACAGTGATCCACCCAGGAATTTTCAACGCTAAAGATTAGCGCCGCACATCACTGCATGACCACATGATGAATTGAAACAAACGGACAGCTGCAAGCAAACAGGGATGGGCGCGGCAGCGGACGCACTCGGGGCCGGCAGATCAGGAAGCGCTGAGAGATGATCATTTCACGTTAATGTTCGATCAAAATTATCGATGAAGGCAGCAAGGGGCAGGGATGATTCCCTCGTGCCGACATGGCAGAATCAAACGGTAGAAGCAATGGATAGAACCAGAAAAGCACAAAAAAAGGCCAGCTGTGCCACTGCCTTCAGTCGCTGCCCTGCTGCTGCTCGTCGCCGGGCCGCAGCCGCCCGCGCTCCAGCACCAGCCAGCGCACGTCGGCCGCCAGCGCCGCCCGCAGCTGCCGCACGCCGCCCGAGTGCACGGTGAGCACCACCGCGGCTCCCGCCGCACGCAGCCGCGCCACCACCTCTGCAATCATCGGCGAGCCGGGAAAGGCGGGGGGGCGGCCAGAACATTGAGGCAGGCGAGCCCGGGAGCCACACAGTCAGAACAACACCCACCACCACATGCGCCTGCCACCCACCCACCCACCGACGCCACCCAGCCACCCAGCCCACCTGGCAGGCGCGGCGAGGCGGTGAGGAACCTGTCTGCGTCGTCGATGAGCACCAGGCGGGGCGGCGGCGAGCCCAGCAGCAGCAGGCGGGCCAGGCCCAGGCGCAGGCGGGCCGTGGGCGTCAGCTCCAGCCGGCTGGCCTCCCCCACCAGCGACTGGAAGCCGTCTGGCAGCCGCCTCACATCCGCGTCCAGCCCCGTCAGCTCAGCCGCTTCCTGGCAGTCCGCCACGCTGGGCATGTCGCTGCCCTGGGCCCCGCACACCAGGTTCTCCTGCGGGGGGGTCAACCCAGGGAAGGCGGGGGTTGGTAGTGGCTGGCAGGGCGGCAGGGCAGGTGGTGGAGATGGGGCTGGGCATGTGCAGGTTCCGCCATGCACCGCACCGCATGCCACGCGCACACCGGGCCACCCAACACACGCCAGGCCCCCACCCTTTACCTGCACCGAGGCGAAGAAGATGGCGCAGGAGGCGGGCGTGAGGCAGCCCATGTGGCGCTGCAGGTCGCAGCGGTCGCTGGTGGTGGGGTGGAAGGGCAGCCAGCGGCGGGGCGCGCCGCAGCCAAACTGCACGCTGCCGCCGCCGGCGGGGGCGTCCAGGTGCAGGACGTGGAGCAGGCTGCTGCGCCCGGCGCCCGTGTCTCCAGACACAAGCACCGCCTTGCCGGGGGCTGCCTCCAGGCTCAGGCCAAACAGCACCTCGCCCGGCCGGCTCCTGCGCGTGGGGAGGCAGCGGGCAGGTGTGCGGAGGGAAAGGAGACAGTTCCGGCGGGCGCCAGGCAGGCAGACAGGCAGGCAAGCAGGGCAACGACACAGGAACGACACAGGCTGCAAGGCGCTCAGCAGTCCCTCAAAGCACAGCACTGCCAGCACCACAGCCCAGCACTTGGTGCAGCACTGACCGGTAGCTGAAGATGATGTCCTGCGCCCGCACCCCGCCCGTCCACGCCTCTCCCGTCAGCCGCAGGACGGCCGGCGGCGGCGCGGACCCCGCCTCTGCATCCTTGAACAGACCCTCGTCCGAGCAGCTGTCTTCGCCGCTGCCGCCGGCACTGCCCTTGGCACCGTGGCCCACCACAGGGGCGCCGGGCGGGGCCTTGGGCCGGGCATCCAGCCTGGCCGCCGCCGCACGTGCCGCCTCCTCCTTCTCCAGCTCCTCCAGCGCCGGCGGCTTGCCCTTATTTGTCAGCTGGCCGCGGTGGTGCAGGTCGATCACACGCTCCAGGCTGCCTGCAGCAGGCACACACGCAGCGGGAGGGGGTCGAGGCGGGGGGCGAGCGCAAGCACCGCGTCACCGGGGCTGGCGTCGGCGGCTGCTGTGCAGGTGTGTGGGCAGTCATTCAAGCACAAAGCAGGCGCAGCGGGCGTCCTACATCACCCCACCCCACCCACCGTAGGAGGCGAAGAAGCGCGCCACGGCCTCGGACAGAGCCGTCAGCCCCTGCTCCACCACCCCGGTGTAGCGCAGCATGGCGTACAGGGAGCCCACCTCGATGGCGCCGTTGAGCAGCTGGTCGCCGCCGATGTACAGCAGTACCACTGCGGAGCAGGAGCACGCAACACAACGGAGCATACAATTGCACGCACATACACCAGGGGTGGCAGCCTGGCCTGACCAGGGCTGGGCATGCATCCGAGCCACGCGCTCTCGCGCACGGGGAGGCGAGCGGGCACCCCCCACGCGGCCTTGCCTGGCATCATGGCCGAGAAGACTGCCTGCAGGTAGAGCTGGTGGGTGGCCAGCCAGGCGGCCAGCACCTGGGCGGCGCGGAAGTACGCCTGCGCCAGAGGCTCGTAGCTAGCTGCACCGGGGAGGGCGTGTGAGCGTGTGCAAGTGGGGATGAGTGAATGGGAGGGTCGCATGTAGTGGCCGGGGAGGGGCCAGGGAGGGCCAGGGCACGCGGTGGTGCGCGGCTCTGGGCAGTGCGAGCAGGCGGCAGAGCGCGGCAGTGCTCCCCGGCGCCAGCCCTGCACAGCCCTCCCGCTCACCTGCCAGCGTGCGCTGCAGCGCCATGGCCTGCACCCCGCTCATGGCCGTGAACACCTCGTACGACAGACCGTACAGGCGGCCCAGCGCGCTGCGCGCCAGGCGGTGCCTGCTGCGCACGATGAGCGAGGAGACGGCCAGCTCCACCGCGCTGACACCCACCGCCGCCCCTGCAGGGAGGCAGACGAGGGGTGCACAGGTGCGCCACGTCATCACCCAGCACGTGTTGGCAAAGGAGGGCCCAAGCTCGGCAGCCAGGGGCCGGGGCAAGGCAGGGCGGCGCCGCCGGCCGCTCCAGCGAACCCCGGCGGCCTCACCCAGAGCGGCTCCAAAGCCGTTGCTCAGCACAGGCCCCGTGGCAAAGGCGGCCAGCAGGGCCACGCCGCCGATCAGCTGGGCCAGGCCCTGCACCAGCTTCTGCACCAGGTACCCCACGAGCACCCGGATGTTCTGCATGTCCACCGCGGTACGACTGTACCGCAGGAAACACAAGGGCATGGAAGGGGGGAGCAGCAGGGGAACACAGGAGACGTCAGGGGAGGAGAGGGGATGGTGCGGTGGCGCGGGAGGTGTGTGGGGCCTGTGATCAGGGCTGCTCGCTGTGCTGCGACGCAGCGCAGCAGGGGTCGCCCATCCAATTCGTCCAGGCTGAAACGAGGTGCCCCCACACGCCCCCACCTGACCAGCTCCGAGGTGGAGATGTCGTGGTAGAAGGTGGAGTCCTGGAACAGGACGTGGTTGAACAGGGAGACAGACCTGCATCACAGGCATCACTCCATGCATCATTCCATGCAACGCAGGCCTGAGGGCGGACGCAAGGGCGGCTCGCGACTATCTATGCTCCGACGCATGTAGTGCAGTGAAGGGCGAGGCCACGCTCACAGCTTGCACATGGCGCGCCGCTGGTAGGCCTGCATGCACAGGCTGGAGGCGTACTCTAGGGCCACGCCGCACAGCGTGATGCCTGCAGGCCACGTGGCATTGGGGTGGGTGTGGGGGTCAGGGGTGGGTGTGGGGTGTCTGGGATGTGTGCGTGCATGCATAGATGTGGGGGGAGAGATGGAGGTGGTGGGCGGGGCAGGGCAGGGCAGGCACTCATCGCGTGGCGCATCCATGGCAGGCATGCGAGGGTCAGCGGGCGGGGCAGGGCGCGCCTGTGAGCAGGTAGATGGCATCCAAAAAGTCGGCCTCATCGCCCGTAGTGGCCGCATTCAGCACTTGGCTCTGCGGGGGCGCAGGCGGCGGGGACAGGGAGCGGCGGGTGCCGTCGGCAGGGCTGCGGCGCTGCCGTGGGGTGCGCAAGCCGGCGGCAGGCGCAGGCACGCACCTGGATGCCCAGCTGGTACAGGTTTAAGCCCACCGCTGCCACAATGAGCAGCGTGGTGAGCAGCAGCAGGGGCCAAGCGGCCGCCACGATGCGCCCGATGAACAGCATGGTCTCCAGCGCTGCGGGCAGGAGGGGTGGGGGTGGGGGGGCTGGCAGCACTGGGCGCAGGCAGCATGGCAGGACCCTGCCGAGCAAAAGAGACAGAAGAGGGCTGAACACAGGTGGAAGCAGGGGCTGTCACCTGAGTAACGCACATCGGCCCGCTCGGGGCGCTGCGCCTGCGTGGACCCCTCCCGCTCCCCCTCCGGCGCCTCTGCCAGCTCGGCCAGGTTGGCGCAGGAGCCGACGGCGCCCTGGGCCGCCCAGGCCGCGCCCAGGCGCCCCTCCCCCGGCGCCACCGCCGGCGCCGCCTCCACCAGCTGGCTGGCTGGGATGAACTTCATGGCGGCGCCGCTCATGACGGCGGCGGCCTGGCTGCCCGACCGCAGCGCCTGGGTGCGCGCCCGCCGCAGCTGCTTCAGCGTCTTGCGCAGGTCGAGGGAGGGGATGAGGGTGGCATCGATCCACAGCAGGCCTGAGGAGGCCTCGGTGCCAAACTGGCGGCGGGTGAGGCCCGCCACGGGCACCGGCGGGCGCGCCTTCCTGCTCGGCGCCGCTGCGGGCAGCGTGCCGCTGCCGTCGACCTCCACCCCGCTGCTGATGCGTGCCAGCGGGGCGCGGGTGGTGCGGCGGGCTGCCTGCTTGGTGGCGGCTTCCGCCCCCGACGGGTCTGCGGGGTCAAACAGGCCGCCCTCTGCTTCCACATAGTCCGTCAGCTCAGCAGGCAGGGCGAGCAGGCCCAGCTGTGCGGTGTCCTCCTCGGCGGGGATGAAGCCGGTGCGCGCAGCCTTCTCGCGGTTGCGCCCCGGCAGCGCCGCCATGCGCGACTTCTGGGTGATGATCCACCGCTCCACTGCGGCAGGGAGGGGTGCCAGGGGCAGACGCACAGGGCAGGCAGTGTGTATGTGTGTGTGTGTGTGCGCGCGCGCGTGCGGGTGAGTGTGTGGGCGTGTTGGCGAGATAAGGAACAAACACTCCCATCAATAGGGCAGGCCTGCCAGCCACGCACGTCAGCCCCTACACACACCTCAGCCCCACCCCTAGCCCCACCCCACCCACCCGAGTCTGCATCCAGGTTGTCCAGCGTCAGCCTGCCCCCATACTTGGCCAGCGCACGGTTCACCTCGCTCAGCAGGTGGCCCCAGAAGCAGTTGATGCCGCCCGCTGCGCGCACATCCGCGCCTGGGAGGGCAGGGAGGCAGGCAGGCAGGTCGGCGCATGGGCTTCCGGCGCGCATTGCTACCCCTCCGGGGGAAGGTGGGTAGCCTGCAACAGCCCCCATCCCGCCGCCACCACAGACACCACGCCACCACCGCCCACCTGAGAGCAGGTCCACCGCAATCAGGTGCTCCACCAGGGCCTTGTACTTGTCGTCCTTGGCGTGTACCGTCTTGAGCAGCTGCGCATGGGCAGCGGACGGCGGCGCAGGCGCGAGGCGCAGCCGTGAGCGGGGAGGCAGGAGGCTGGCGGGCAGCCAGCTGTCGGCGGCATCATCGCAGGCCGGTGTCCTGACCCTCGCCCGAGGCTTCTTGCCTGGCCCCGGCCGCCCACCGGCTGCGCCCGGCCGCCTCACCCTGAACAGGTAGAACACGGGCAGCTTCTCCTTGCGGTAGTAGGCCCACGTGTGCTCATCCAGCTGGTAGGTGAACCCTTCCAGCTTGAACTGGCGCAGGATGACGCGGCCCAGGTTGGAGGGGCCCAGCACAGGCTTGTCCTCCCACAGGATCCACGTGGGCTTGAACTCTGCAGGGGGGCGGCAGCCAGCCAGCGAGCTGGGCAGCGCGGCGGTAGGGAAGGGGCGGCAAGGAAGGGGCGGCAGCTCGGCCCACGCAGCCGCCAGAGGCTGGCAGGGCCCGGCACCCGCTGCGGGGAGATTGCCAGGTGAGGGCGGCGGCCAGCGGCGGGCACAGGCGCACCCGACTTGAGCGCCCGTGGGATGGAGCGCACGACTCGGTTCTGGGCGTCGTACAGCGCATCAGCCGAGTAGAAGAGCGTGAGGGGGGCGCCGGGGGTCAGGCGCATCAGCAGGCATTCGTTGAGGCAAATGTCTGCACGGTTTTGGCAAGCAAAGGGAGACGAAGGCGAGGGGCTTGGGTGTGAGGCAAACACTTAAAAGTGAATGGCAGGGCGTTTGGGCGGTGTCCCCAGCTCACCGCGGTGCAGCCAGTAGCTCTTGAGCTCCTCTTTGGTGATCACCTCAATGTCCACAGGCTCCAGGGTCAGGTGACCCATCTGGGTGCCTGCCGCAGGCGGGGGCAGCACACACAGGCGCATGTCGGCAGGCGCCGGCAGGCCGGCCGGCGAGGCGGCTGCTCCCCACGGGCGTGCAGGCCCCCGGCAGCCCGCCCCCTTCCCCCCCACCTGACAGCTCCTTGCGCAGCTCCGTTTCCTCCTCAGGCGTCAGCCCCTCCTTGGCCAGGATCAGGACATCGATGTCGAAGTCTGCAGGCCAATCGGCAGGGCGCGAGGATGAACGCGCCGGCGGGTGTCGGATCAGGCTCGGGGCCACCTGCCCGGCTGTCCCTCCACCGGCAGCACGAGCCGCCTCACCGTTGGTGGCAGGCTCGGGGGTGCCGTGCAGGATGTTCAACACCTTCCTGGCAATGCCGCCCTGCAGGCAGGCGCAGGCAGCCGTACCCCATTCACCGGCCGCCACAGTGGGCGCTCCTGGCTTCCCCACCCCACCCCACCCCACCCCACCCCACCCCACCCCACCCCGCGGTTGGCACGTGCTCACGCAGAGCCGCACACCTTGATGCCCCAGCCGTAGCCCAGCGCCGCCGCCGCCGCCGCGATGGCTGGGTCCGCCGCCGCCACCTGCTCCAGGTCGACCTCCTCGCACAGGATGGTGTGGGGCTGGTGCACGGCCGGGTTGGATACAATGGTGACTCCCTTGGGCCTGAAGGTGCGGGTGATGATGCCCAGCCGCATCAGCACAAAGTAGACGGCAGCCGCCAGCAGCACCGCGCCGCACACGGCGCCGATGGCGATGCCGATGATGGCCTCGGTGCTGAGCCCGCCGCCGCCGCCGTCCTCGGAGGCGGGGGTGTAGGGCTGGGGCAGCAGCATGACGCGCTGGGTGCCCTTGCCGCAGCTGCAGGCGCCGCACGAGACACAGCGGATGTGAGGCATGACAGGTGGAGGGACCAAGGGCAGGCTGCAGCCAGCAGGCGGGCCCAGGCGGGGCCCAGGCTACAGACTGTGGTGGCCCCGCCAGCATGCGGCGAGCCAGCAGGCAGTCCCCTCCCTCCCTCCCTCCCTCCCTCCCTCCCACGGTCCTCCCTGCCCTCCGCCCCACCTCAGCGTGTTGTTGACGCGGCGCATCCTGGTGCTGCAGTCCGGCAGAGGCCTCAGCGTGGTCTTGTTGAAGCACATGCGCACGCCCAGCAGCCGCGGCTGCGAGCAGGCCTGGCAGGAGCAGACCAGCTCCTGGCCAGGCCACAGCAGGTCGCCCCACGGTGTGCCTGGATGACGCCCTTGATCCTATCCACTGCGTGCGGCGCATGGGGAGGAGCAGCGATGAAAAATCCAGGGCATGGCGGGTGGCGAGCGCCGTCGGCGGGCCTTGGGGAGGCAGGCAGGCAGCAAGCAGCGCCCCCCCCCCCTGTGCGGGCACCCCGACTCCTGCCCAGGCCCTGGCCGCCCACCCGAGTACGACTGCGTGTCAGAGGGCACGATGCCCGCCCGCTGCAGCACCGCCGACACGTTGTGGGAGGCGGCCACCAGCACGGCGTTGGAGAAGTAGGTGCGCTGGTCCATGCCGGAGCAGGTGCCGTGCTTCTCCCACTCGTGCGCCCACAGCAGGCTGTCGGCGTCTGGGCTGACCAGCGACTGGTTGGGCGCCATGTCGGGCCAGAACAGTGAGATGGTGTCCTCCAGGCCCGCCAGGCAGCCAGGCTGGTACGGGGTGTCGCTGCACCGGTCCTGGAACCTCTTGCCCGCGCCGCCCAGCGCGGACGGCGGCACCTGCGGCCACACGCCGTGGAGAGCAAACCCGGCGTCGACCTTGCCGGCTTGCAGGGCCTGGCTGAAGGCATCTATCACCGGGCCGCTCTCGTTGCGTGGGATGGTGTTGAGGTAAGCGGCGGGCCAGTTGAATGCCACCAGCATGACGTCAGTCCTGCGAGCGGCGGCAGGCGGCGGTTGAGGGCTGGAACACAATTTGTTTTTTGGGGGGGGTCAGGTGATCAGGTGACACCTCGAGAGGGGCCAGCATGGATCAAACTTACAGGCTCTCAATCTGCTCCAGCTCTGTTTCGTTGCCAGGGTTGCAGTCAACCAGTGCAGAGGCTGGGCCCGCCCTGAGGAGTGCCAGCAAGAGCACCAGGAAGGCGGCAACACGCGCCCGAGGGCCGCCGCAGTACCATGCGGGCGGCGGGGCTGGCGCCCGCCAGCGCATGCCTGCTTGCTCTGCTGCTGCGGATACAGGGCCGTGGGCGCGTGCTGGACCCGGAAAAGCGAGACCAGGGCCGCGGGCTTACCAAGTCGGCCTGCAGGCAGCCCGGTTGGGGGCTGCAACGCTTGCAACGCCGTCCACAAACCGCCCAGCGGGAGCTACAGCCCAGAGGCAGGGCCCAGACAAATCGCGGGGTCCAAGTAGCCCTACCTGTTCAAACCCTGGCGCTGATACTGCTATCGGCAGCCCTCAGAAGTGATCACAGCGCTTCCAAGAGCCGTGGCATGTGTGGCTGTACAACAGTTGGTGCTACCGTACCGCCGTGTGAATTTGGCCTTCACCTGATGTGAGCTGGCTTGCAATTTGCACCAGATCAGAGCGAAAAGCGCATCCAAAAAACACCAAAATCAAGCAGTCACATATCAGGAGCAGGAAGCTAACTGAGAACACAATGACATCAACTCCGCGCCGTGTACTAATTGATGTGCAGCGATAGCCTACAAAAATAGTCTCTCTAGCACCATGCCTGCCAGCCCACATACATGCGGCACAGCTTGTCGTGGTCCTGCGCATCCTGCAGCAGCTGCTGCACCTGCCCCTCCACACCCCGCGCCTCGCCCTCGCCTGCACCAATGCGGCCGTTTGGGGGAAGGGAAGCTCACACCTCGGTGTGTGGTGTGAAACTGGCACACGCCATGCGGCATCCAATCAGGCAAGCTATGGCAGGCAGCGGCAGCTCCCCCCCCCCCACACACACACACCCTCCAACTCACTGCTCTTCACTGAAGCACCCCCGTCCCCAGCCACCTGCCGCCGCCCACCTGCCTCCACCCCCTCCAGCTTCTGCTTGATGCGCAGCAGCGTGCGCTCGGCGTCGGCATTGGCCAGGCTGATGGCGCCGCCTCCCCCGCCCACAGTGGCCGACGCCACGCCACCGCCACTGTCGTCGTCCTGCCAATGCGGGGCGCAGGTACCACCTCACTTCAGCCAGCTGCCATTGCGTGTGTTGCCAATGCAAGGCATGCTCGCCGTGGCCTGCGGGCGCCCTCCATGCACCCCACCCGTAGGCACCCGCGGGAGCAGCAGCAGCCGGCGCCCACGCCTGCGCGCACCTCCTCGGCGCCCGCGTCGTACTGTCGGCGCGCTGCCGCCGTGGTTGTGAGGGCCCACTTGTAGAGGGGGTCGTGAATGAAGACCTCGATCACAGTCAGGATGGACTCCTTGCTGGCCCGCAGCACCTGCGCAGCAGGGAGGTAGGGTTGGGGTCGTTGTGGTGACGGTGGTGGGTGGGCAGTGGTGCTGGTGGCAGTGGTGGTTTGAGCGCATGTGCTGGGAAGCCGAGGGCGGCGGGCGTGGCAGGCTGCTGCGCAAGGAGGGCTTCCACAGCATCACGCAGCACGCCAGCCGCTCCCGCCCCTCACCCTCAGCGTCTCCTCGCAGCACCGCCGCATGACTTCCTCCACACCCGTCACGCCCATGCCATCCACCACATCCCGCGTCAGGCGGAAGGGCACCAGCTCAGGGGTGTTCAAGAAGCGGCCCTGCACGGGGGACGCGGTGGTGGCGGTGAGTGGTTGTGGGTTGGGGCGCGGGCAGGCCCAGGCTTCAGCCAACAGCTAAGAAGGCAGGTCCCCACACCACACAACACAACACAACACAACACAACACAACACAACACCACGCCACGCCACACCATACCACACCACACCACACCACACCTGCTCAAAGGCGATGCCCAGGTCGATGTGCACCGCATCAGCTGTGCGCGTGTCCAGCAGGATGTTCTGCAGGTGGCGGTCGCCCAGCCCAATCACGTGCCCCGCCATGCTGTTCACCGCCATGCTGCGGGTGTAGGCCAGGCGCCGCTCAAACCAGGTGCCTGCACAGCAGGGGGGGCGGGCAACCGACACGACGGGGGCGAGCGTCGGCAGCAGCCCACCTACCCGCCTTGGATGTGCCCCTCGCATCAACTTCAGACCACCACCACCACCGCCGCCGCCACCACCACCACCACCACCACCACACCACCACACCACCACCACCCACCCGGGTCCCTGAAGCTCTCCAGGAAGAAGTGGTGCATGGCGGGCGGGAAGCGGGCGCACACCTCGTCGTATGCGGCGCGCAGCTGGGCGGGGGTGGCGTGGGCCTGGGCGCCCTTCACCAGCTGCGTGCATGCAGGGCCGCGGCAGGAAGGGGCTGGGCGTGCCAGCGCTGAAGCAGGCATGCATGCATGCAGGCAGGCAGGCAGCCTGGCAGGCAGAAGGCGAAGCACCGGGCCTGGCACGCGCCTCTCCTCCACCCCCAGGCCAGCCCCGCCAGTCCCAGCTCCCCGCGTGGCGCCCTGCCCTGCCCCACAGGCTCCCCTGCCTCACCTTTGTATAGCACTCGTACCAGGTGAGGTCCGCGGGGCGCCTGTAGCGCGCGTGCGCGCCCCCCGTGCGGCTGGCCCCCAGCAGGTAGTCGGCCAGCGGCAGCGTGTGCTCCACCCACTCCAGCAGGCCAGAGGAGGGGCTGAAGGGGACCACCTGCTTGGGGGGCAGGCAGGGGCGGGGCAGGTGGGTGGCTGGCAACGGGCAGCGCGGAAGGAAGCGGGGCGACAGCAAGGCCGGGCAGCGGATGCGCCTTGCCTCGAGGTGTGTGGTGGGCAGCTGCCACCACACACACACACACACAGCCCACCCGCCCCCACCCCACCTTGTATGTGCGAATGAAGAGGGAGCGGCGCTGCGTGCGCGGCTGCTCCGCCAGGAACTGGTTGACCAGCCAGAAGAACTGCTGCATGACGGCGTCCTGGCGCAGGTCGTCGT